CATATATGGCAATATTTAAGAATAAGCCATATATGTATTTTAGTTTCAGTTTATAAAGTTTTACCGTATAGTTTCCGAAAAAATTTTCTTGATCTTCAACATCAAGCTGCATTTAAATTTTACTTTAAATTTAGTTAATTTTTAACAATAATATACTTTCGTTAGCACTTTTGAATTTGTGTATGTACACATTTGTACATTTTATATACACCTAGAATAAGTATGTTAACACATATGTGTGTATGTAAATAAGCTTAAGTACTTTTGTTTCGAACAATGGCATAATAAAATCTTTTAGAATGTCAGCATTAAAAAAAAATTAAATTTAAAAAATTTTATAATTAAATACTTTGTTGTGAGTTTTCTTTCGTGAAAATTTCGCACTCAAAAAATTAAAAACTATATTCACGAGTACCTATTAAAGCTAACAAACTAAAAATTATTTTACAAATTAAAAATAAAAATATGGTGCAAAGGATTTTAAATTTAAAATTTTGCCAATTTCCTTAATTCGAATTCAAAATCGCATGAATACGTTGTATTTTTCATGGTGACTTCCGTTTTAAAAGAAATGTTTTTTCAATTGTTAACTTGTGTTAGCGCAATGCAGTTTAAATGAACTTAATCTTATTATGTAATTAAAAATAAAATTTGATTAACATTCGTTTAGTTAAGTTAAGAGTTTAATTTAATGAAATTTTTCATCCATAAAATTAGGAAAAAATAAAAAACAATTTTTTTTTTTTAATATTTTGCACAATAATTTTTAATAGTAAGGAATAAAATTGTATTGAAATATAATTGGTATGGAGAAATACTTCTATTTTTCCATATTTCTACAAAATAATGAGTTAAAATGTCGTCCTTTTTTTTCAAGCTGAAATATTCGTTTTTGGAAATGGGGAAAAAAGTAAACAGGGTTAAACAAATTGAAACAACTCTGACATTTAAGTCCAATGTAGGAATTGATTTTAGTAATTGCATATAAATTGCATAATAAAGACAAAATCGAATAAAAAGGAAAATTTGCCCTAAACACACAAACAATTTAAAATACGAAACCTTTAATTATTCAACAAAAAATTTTTTAATTTAATAAATTTAATACAGAAATAAATCTTATATATCTCTTAAAAATTTTATTTCGTATTTCATTATGAATTTTGGTACTTTGACGTAATTGCAATCTAACGTACAGATACAAATTTAAGAATTCCACTACTCCAACAAGATATAATATAGTAAATTGATTACTATAAATCAATTCCTATGGTATATTCACCCATTTAATCAAATTCGGTATTCGGTAAATAGATTTATATTATGGATAATATTCAAACTGAATAATTCTACGCAAATAACAATATAGACTACGCATTTAATGCAAAATCTAGAAAGCCGCACATCAACGTTTCAAATATAATATGAAAAACAAGTAACGAGAGAATTTTTCAGTTTTCATTTCCAAATTTAAATTATTGAATAACAGAAAAAGTACTCATTCTTTTCTATTACAATGAAATGTCACTGTTTCTTTCTTCTCCAAGATTTTTTTTATTTTATTTTCAAAGATCCAAGAAAAGTTTATTTTTTTCAATTAAAATTTTTTTTGTAAAGTCTAAAATTGAAAATTTTATCGATATCGAATAAAGAGATTTAAATTTTTTTTTTGTACTTTGATTTAGCAATGCGATTTGAATTCAAATTTTAGAAAATTAAAAAAAGAAAAATCGTGAATATTTCAAGATATTTGAATTATTCTTTCTATACTGTTTTATTATTTTTGTAGTTTTAAGATGAGGTATGGATCCACTGAAAAGCAAAAGATACAAAAAAAAAATATATCTTTTTTTAAGAGTTACAAAGAGCGGTTTATAACGTTCCATCTTCATTTTTGAATAAATTAATATAAGGATAAATTTTTCATTTAAATTTGTGGTTTCTAGGAATTTTGAAAAAAAATTTTTTTTTTGATTTTGCTTCTCTCTTTTTACTCATGTTGATTTAATTTTTACTTCATTGAAATTAATCGGATTTTCAATTTTTCTTTTCACAGGAAAATAAATCCGATATACATATATAATATATTACAATCTTTTCTACTCTTTCTTCAATGGATTCTTTAAAATTGATTAGTTTTCTTTTTGAAATGTAAATCTGAATATTTTCTAACAAAAGTGAGGAATTAATGCACACGGATTCTTAAATTTTTTGAATTTGTAATGAGTATAATTTTCAATACCGGAACAATATATTAATGTAGCTTGAATTAATGTTTTAGTTATTGTAAACAAAAACTCTTTGGAAGATAAAGAAAGTAAAAGTAAGAAATTACAATCCAAGACAATTTCAATATTTTGTTTTAATATTTAATCATTCAAATCAAATTTCATTGTTTCTAAGAGGAGGAAATATGATTGTAATTTCCTAATTAATAAATTGAAAATATTTTAATTAAGGATTGACATCGAATTAGACTTTTTTCGAATGTTTTTTATTGATTGTAACCTTCATATTTTTAATTAAATTTTTAACTTTTATTGCAATAGCTTCCAATTACTTATCTTTTTTGCAAAAAAAAATTAAAGTTTTCAATTTAATATGGAGCGTATTATGAATAATTCTAATTCTAAGTAACAATTCACTTTTATGAATCTATATCGACCATTTTAGGTTAATGTTGCATTAACATTCCATTCCAAAATTTATGCGAACTCCCGCCCGATACAACTTTATGGATTTAATTTAATTAATTCCTGTTCATATTAAATAAATCGATTAAATCAGAAATTTACTCCGTAAGATTTATGCTCCAGTACAGGATTACAGTTTTTTTTATATAATATGGCACTTCTAGGATAATTTTCGTGTTTATTATTTTATTGCCAAAAATCACGCGTTAAATTTTCATTTGCATAAATGTACCATATTTCTATTCACCGCACGTTTACATATTTAATATTTAAATTTACAGTGAAATAAGTTGAGAATCAAAGAAAGTTACTATATATGTACTCTTTTACCGGTATGTAGATGTAAAGTAGTTAAGGTTATTATTGCGAGTTGATTGCTATGACATTATTTCTCTTTTCCTATTTTCTATATTTGATTAAATTTATCACTTGGAAAACCTAAAAATTGTTGTTTTAATTGATGGTAATTTTTTTATTGAAATGACTTAATTTTTCTCTGTTGTTATGGCATGTTATAATGTAATTAAAATTAAAAATTCAAATTTTGGCACCCTTTTTTTAAAAAACAAAAAAAAAATATTCAAATAAAATTTATAGGACATATCGTATCCGACAGAACAAAGCAAATCGCCACATTGATTTGATTTATGTATTTATTATTTCAACATTGTACTATACATTAAATTCAATTGAATTTTAACAGCCAATCCCAATTTAGATTTTCAGACAAAGCTCTTGAAATATTCACAAGTTACAACAGAGATATTTGATATAATATTTTTAACATAAATTTTAACTTCGATGAATTTTAAGTATAAAAAATTTGCATACTTCACAATGTACTATACATACATTACTGATGTAATGATCTATTTGACCCCGAGTTCTAATTGTAAATAGAAAAAATTGTAAGGCAAAAGAAACTAGCTATAGCAAGCAACTAAACTTTTGTTAAAAATTATTTTTGACCGATTTTGACAATTTTGACAATTTTTGAGAATTTTTGAGTTTATTACTTGCTTGTGTTATTAGAACAACGCACGATATAAAAAGATATTAACAAATTTGCAATTTCTAAATTCCATTTTCGATTTTGTCCTATTCAATATTAATAGCAAAAATTTAAAATTCTAGTTTAATTCTATAGAATTAATTTATGTTTTTTTTTTTTCCTTTGTTCTCTCCTAGAAGGAGCATAGGGCTAGTGCATGATTTCACTTGCACTAGTTTCATAGCGTCATAGGGTTTAACTAGGTAGGTGACTAGCCTGCCGTAGTTTTTATTTATATATTAATTATTTGAGGTTATTAATATTTACTATTGATTTTTCTTAGTTTTTTTTAATATCGAATATTAGGAATATTTGAAAATTACTTGTATAATATTTTTATTAGTATTGTATATTAAGTTATAATAATATTGAATATAATTTTTATAGTGACCTGACCGGGGTTTGAACCCGAGACCCTTCGGTTAAAGGACCGGTGCCATAACCACTGCACCAATGGTCAGAATTAATTTATGTACCTTTTCTGAATTTGCTATATATATAATTTATTTGTATGTATAATAAATACAAACATTGAATCATAACAACATCTAGGCATGCAGCTTGATAATTAGGAACTATTACTGTTTGTGAGTCTTAATAAAATATTTATATTGCAGGCTCATATGGCACACGACATAAGTTATATAATTGATGTATTATGTATAATTATTTTTTGTATTTTATTGTTAATATTATTATTAAAGAAAAGAAGAACTCTAAAAAGTACTTAGGAAGCACTCTACGTAATAATATTAAAAACAATTATTTATATGTCATTTATAATTCATGTGACTCTAATTCTCATTCATATCGGTTAATCGAATACAAATGTATGCACTGTGAAAATATCACATAATACTTTGTATGTACGTTAATATTTGATTAAATTGGAATAATATTTCGTTTTATTCACCAAAACAAAAGTTTTTGTTGGAAACTTGAATTTGCTTTGCCATTTTCAAAGAATTTTTGAATACATAAAAAACTTTTGGTTTTATACTAGGTGCTTACTTCGATTATAATACCGTTTGTAAACTAAATAAAGTGCCGTACAATTCTTTTCAAAATTAATTTTAAATTATTTCTAAAATCAGTGACTCCTTACTGTCTTTAATACTGACAGCCTGTTATACATACATAGTTCATATTTGTTTGTCAACAATATAAAATTTTCTACTCAAAAAAGTGATCAATATTTTTTTTTAATTTTTTATTTTTCATTCATGGTACATATTTTAATAAAATACACAAAAATTATCAATAATAATTATTGGAAATTATTCAAAGATCGCTTAAATTATATTTATTTTACATTACAACAAAAAATCTTAGCTCTTTAACATATTGTAAATAATAATCAAATAAGAAATGTCTGGTTCGATAAAATGAAAAACTCTCGAAATTAATTTACATAATTATCCACTGATATGTAGTTATAAATTGTTACATTTATAACAAGAAAATCTTATACTTATGTTTACATATTATAATAATATCTAACAAGATAATGTATCTCGTGAAGGACATTGAAATATTACATCAAATTCTTTGAAAAATCTACGAAAATATTTATTTATGAAATTTTTTGTAATATTTTCAATTTCCATTTGTTGCCTTTGTCGCCTATCTCCAGTTTGCGTTCTATCATTTGATCCTGTAATCATCCTGTATAAACCAGTATTCTCATATACTTGATTACATTTACGTTTAGCGGCATTGATAAAAAATAATTTTTCGTTTGTTAAATTTTTAAATTCATCCAAGACTTCATATTCTAATTTTCTAATACTATCTTGTCCATTATTTTTATTTACAAATTGAATCCACGATTTTAATCCTAAAAATGATTGCTTCTCAGCAAAATAATTAATTAGAAAATCTTGTTTTATAATATTTTCATCTGATTCAGATATTGGTTTTGACTCACTCAAACCTTCACCTCGGATTTCTCCTTTTAATAAATTATCTAAATCAGAGCATGTTGGAAAATTAGTATAGAAATTACGATATAGCATTGATTTCTTATTATTTTTCCTATTAGCAACATTATCATCTTGTGTATCTGTAGGTGTTATACTAAATGCATTCGGATTATAGCAGGATAATAATGCTGATAATGTTTTGTTTTCACCTTTAATCATTTCGGATGCTAAATTTATGCCAATACTACCAAAATTCGTTGACATTATTGCATCACGATTACGTATAACTAAATTTAAATTATTTTTAAATAAATTATAAAAATCAATAATTTTACTTTTGTAACGACTCTGTGTTGTTGTTAGAAAGGTATTGCATCTTTCTAAATTTTCATAAAAATTTTTTTGGTTTACTTGTAATGACTCATATTGTGTATTTAACTTGACGTCACCATGTAATAAGAAATTCAATTGACGATTTAAATAAACATTTGAATTTTGTGAATCAGCAGCCGACTCAATATGACATTTTTGTGGAAACTCATGTCTAATTGAATCAAATGATTTACGAATTTCACTAAATAATTGTATGATGTCAAATTTATTGTATGAAGGACGTTCTAATATTGTCATATAAACGGGATTAAAATATTTCTTAAGTAAATCAACACAATCGCGAGTTGTTGTACTTTTTAAATAATTTGACCAAAAATAATTTGACACCTTAACTGGATTAGAATTTTTAATAAAATCTAAAATTTTCATGAATACGATTTCATCATACACTATTAAAATATCGTTAGAACGTATTGATTTTCCGATAATATTTTTAAAAAATTCACTCCAATTAAATTGTGGAAATTTTACTTGAAAATCATCAATTGAATATTCGATTATATTTAAACGAATATTACTCCGTCTTCTCTTATATTCAGCAATATTATCACGTTCCTGCTCAAATTCTAAAAGTTCTTCTATTAATATTTCTTTCATACGTTTATTTATTCCAATATCCTGTAATAATTCATATGTAGTTCGATTGAATTCATTTGGGTCCAACCGTCCAGATAATGTTGTAAAAATTTCAATAACCCTTTTATTATTTTGTAATGAAATTTTATGTTGAAAAAAATGATTTTGTCCAATTTTACTAAATTCTAATAATGTATTAAATATTGATGTTTCATTCCAATTGTTTTCTAAAATAGGCCAACCCCCAGTATTTCTATACAATTCTGTATTTTTTAAAAGACCAACATTTCGTGATTCTTTGCATGATTTGTAAAATTCTTTTGCTTTTATTTCAACATCTGATAAATTATTTTCATCGTCAACATATAAATAATTTTCAATAGTTCTTTTTATATCAGCTCTATTAAAAATAGTGCCTGTTGTTGTTGATGTTGTAATATCACGAACCATAATCGAATTTATGGTATTTCCACAAGCATACTCATAGAAATTATCACAAGGATTGGCATTAAAATTAATTGCATTTTTTATTATTTCATTTAATTGAATCAACTTGACATTTTTCTTTCCTTTTGTTGTTGTCGTTGCTAATGTCTGATGATTATATGTGTCGCGATTAAAACGCTGTCGTCTATTACTATGTATTAAATTATTTTCAATCTCTTTTAACTTTCCTGAAAATGTTGAAGTACGATCATAATTTTTCAAAATAAAATTATTATTAATGTTTTTTATTGCAAAAGGATTTTGCGAAGAGTTTGTAAATTTAATGATAGTTGAATTTGTTGAATGATTTTGAAAAATAATTGCAACAATAAATATCAGTATGAACTGATATAATTTTAGTTTTAAGTTGATTCTTAACCGATTTTGCATCTCGTCAAATAAAAAATTTTAGCTGTTTTCTTATTATTCCGCAATTTATAATTAAAAAATAATTTTTTTCTCAATTTCAAGTTCATCCGATGATAAAGCAAACTAGACTAAATTTTGTAAATATTTTTTATATTTATTGGTTCCGACTTTATGTTGGTATATCATTATAATCACATTTTTTTTTTTTTGTTTTAAGAAAATATTGAATTTGGTTTGATAGTTTAAAAGATTAAGATGAAAAATAAATAAATGCAAGTGTCCATAGGTAGGATTCCCCTTAATCAAAAAGAATTGATTCGACACAAATTAAAGTTACGCGATATTATTAAAGCACGCATCTCTTATCAATGATTTCTAATTAACACGACAAAAGGTTGATATTGAAACGTTAATACAATAATGTGGTGTTATAATTTAAAATTTAAAGGCTTGTTATTGAAAGTGCCCTTAAATTAGGCATAATATCTATTTTCTACGACACTCAGTGTGTTAAGAATAGCAAACGAATTTTGTTAAAAAAATCAACTGTAAATTCATAAGTATATGAAAATTATTTATTAAATTATTAAACACTATTTTAGTCATAGAATATCATTATGGTTAGATTGCTGAAACAAAGTCCTAAAATTTTTATTAATTTTTTTTATACTCCTCGGTAATTTTTGTTTTGTATATAAATTGCGCAGAATTCAATTACCAAGGTTACTTCGAAGTTCACATCCATGGTCTACTTATGTATGAACATTGAAAACTATGCAATTTAAAATTGAACCTTTTATAAAATTGAACAATTTACTTAACATTTTTATTTTTTTTACATTTAATTTTTGCATACTCATATACATGATGTATATGTATACTTCTCTAATTAAAAACAATTTCCATATACAATCATACTTATTTAATATGAAACTAAAAATATAATCTCATTAACTGTTTGATTTAAATAAAACTGAGATGCAAGATAATCTTGGACATTTTTAGGTCAATATTTACATTCTAAATAAATTTAAGTCAAATAAATTCTGTGATTGAGGGTGAACAGGAAAAAAAAAATTTTCTACTGTCTCTCTATACATAGACGCTAGATTATAGAAAGCAATAAAATATTAGAGATTTAATTTAGGTTAAAAAAAAAGAAACCATATAAAAATAAACAAAAATTAAAAATAAAACCCAACAACAACAATATAATCATTATTCTTTTATGTTTGAATCATCCAATACAAACAAAACAATCTGAACACATTGAAAAATTATTTTAATCTCACGCTTCCCTGTAAGTGGGCATTTGAAAAGCCAGCAAAATATCATGTTCTTTCTATAAAATTGATTACACACATTTCTGTTAACAATAATTTATCATAATAACACTAAACCAAACAAGTATTTATAACAGTAATGTTAGGAGTGTGAAAAAAATTGAGTGAAAAAAAATAATATGCTGTTCTAATAGTAAAGTGTATTAAATTTCTTATCATCGGTATGACAAAAAAAAAAAAATAATAACTATAGAAACAAAAGCAAAAGCGAAAATTATATTAAAAAAAAATACAATATTGCGAGCTTAAGCGATAACATAAAAAATCATCACTGTAAACAATATTTGGAAAGTTTATTAGTTTAACGTATTTCACGTCCCTTTTCCTCCTCTTGCTTTTATATGTACAGTACACATAAATTCATTCGGTACATATATAAATTTTGATTGGCCTTTTGAGTTCATTAACTATTCGAATAAATTCGATTTACAAACAAAAAAAAAAAATATTTAACAGATTCTCTTCTCTTAACACACTGTAATGTAAACATTGAATGGTTATTTTGTAAACAAGGAAAATACATAATGAAAACAAAGAAAAGAAAAAATATTTTGTTTGAAGAGGCGTAATAAATGGATTTTGAAGTCCTTTACTATTTTATTATCGGCATATAAATTGGTAGAAAAGGAAAATTCGTATTCAAATAAGTTAAGAATATGAATAATAAAATTTTAAATCTTTTATAAGTACAATGTTATCTATTATTATTATGATTCCCTCAGTCAATAATAAAATCAAGTGAGAATACAAGATTAATAGAAGATTTTAAATGGGTTTCTTGAACATGATATAAACATGAATTTATAAATTACATATACTAATAATATTGAACTACTATAATAAACAAAATATTATTTTTATAAATTTATCGCTGATATTTATTAATCAAATTAAATCTAAATTAAATCAAAATCAAGAGATTGACGGTTTAATTCTGAATTGAAAGGATTTTCCACTAATATTTTCTAGGATTTTTGAAATAGATAGTGTTTTAGTAAAGCAGTAGTCGTAGATATGTAATTAACGTATTTCCTTTAAAACATGTTCGTAAATATTTTCAAAAATTTTTATCTTTCTTCATTTTGTGAATTTTATATTTAATTAAAGTCAGATTCAGCTGAATTTAATTATTATTATTTGTTATATACAGTTTTGTTTGTTATTTTAAATAACTTAAATTTCTAACATTCTTTTTGTATATAGAAAATATTCACAACTCAATATTAAGGAAATTTATCTTAAAAAATTAGGAATTTTTTAGCTAAAATCTATTTGATAGAGCTATGAATTTCTTAAAACTTATTTTAAACGTTTATTATCAACTATCAATATTTAAGAAACCTTTCCTTGTAATTAAGATTTTGGAAGAATTACTTCTTTTAATAATTTATTAAATTTCTTAACCACATACATATATATATGAATTCCCTGATTTAATCGAAAATATTTTTAATAATTTAATGATCTTCTTTCTGAAATGAAATGTGTATAAAACTCTACCATTTATACTCCCTATAAAATAAAAAAATTTTTTACAATTTTCTATAAAAGGATTTTTAATCAAATTTTATTCCCTTATCATAAAATATAGTAAAATTTTTTGGAATTCATATCAAAATTAGTATTTTTCAAATTAAAAGATTTTCAAAAATATTTTTTTTTTTTCATATAAAAAATATAAAAGAATTTTTTAAATTGTAAATTGACGTAATCTGGAAAAAGTAATCTTCTTAAAAATAATTTAAATACTTTTATTACAAAATAGTTAAATAAATACGTAAAATAATCTTGCATGAATATGTTACTTATGTGCATAGTAGAGTACATACATACATACATATGTAATATGTACATATACATAAAAATGTATTTACATGTGTTCGTATACAAAATCCAAACTATAGGCATGAGTAAATTTGTTTTGAATTTTTTTTTTCTTTCTACAGTAATTTTGTTTTTATTTTGGTATTTTAAAATTAAATTTTGGAAATTTCTAGCCAAAAGTTTTTTTTTTATTTCGAATGCAGTTTTTACCATAACTTTTATGTAGTTTGTAATGTTAAATGAAATTCTTATATTGTACAGTATGTATAAATTAAAAAAAAAATTTTTTTTAGAATTTTCAAAAGAATTTTTATAAAACTATAGCAATATCGTCAGAAAAAAAAATTTATTAAAAGTATAAAATAAAATATATATATTTTTTTAATAAATAAAATAGAATTTGAAAAATTTACAAAATAGCAAATTTCAATTCAGAAAAAAAAAAAAATTAATTACAATTCCATAAGTAAGTTTTTTTTTAATCAAATATTCAATAAATAAATTGAAATATTTTTTGATTTAATTTCATTATTTTACAAGAATTTCATTAAAAATCAAAGTTGCAACTTTGGATTTTCTGACTTATTCTACATGTTGAGTACAATTAAAAACATTTTGAATAAATTACAACTCAAATTAGAAATGCTTTAAAAGTATTCATGGAATTAATCAAAAAATTATGATTATACACGCTTATTGTAACCAAATTTATTTGTTATACTAGATTATAAACTAAATTTAGCTACTTTTAAAATATGAAAATATTGTTCACTGAAACAAACTGTTAGCTTATCACATAATGTCTTAAATATCTCATTACAATAATGTATAGTCGACTAAGTCTGAAGTTTGTAAAATAGCTCCTTTCTCTTGATATTCCAAAATTTGCTGTAAATTTCTTACTGCGCTAAACTAATTTTAATGATATATAACAAGATTTCTTATACAAAATATTACAAATTTTATAGTAATATCTGTGAAAACTTATCAAAAATATTTCGTTTAGATACAACGTGTAAGTCCATCAGTGTTCAAGAACTTCTCTTTTTGATTTTAATGATTATATTATTCTTCCAGGGATTTTACATTCGAAGCCTCGAAATTACTAGAAATTGCTAAAAGTTGCTAAGCAAAATAATGATCTAAACAAAATGATTGTCTCAGATATAGTAATAAATTGAATCCCTCGGCATATCAGTAAATGAAATATGAAAAGATACAGGTAATCTTTCAGCGTCCTCATTCAATATTTTTAATTCAAAATTTTAGAAAAGGATTCTTCTTCTCAAAAAGCACTGCTTTCCTTATTGAAAAACGTTTAGTTTCAAAATGATTTCAAATATTTTTTATTTACATAAAATATTAACATTGTCTTTAAATCAAATCATTTAGAATTGTTTATAATGCAAACACTTCTTCATTTTTTCAAATGAATTTAAAACCAATTTAAAATTTATAAAAATAAATACTAAAGTTGTTAAACTACAGAATAATTTCAAAATCCAATATTTTCTCTTATTAACCAAAATTAAATTGAGTAAATAAAACTATATACATATTATGCATTTAATTCTAATATAATATAGAATAAAACGAAATGTTGAAAGAATGGTCTACAAAAAATAGATTGAACTCACACAATATTTATTATTAAAACTTAAATGAAAAATGATATCCTTAAAAGAAATAAAATTCTATATTTATAAAACAGAGACCACATTCACATATGTGGTTTAAAATTACTTTTATTCTAATAAATTAAAAAGGATATTATAGTTTTAAAGAACTTTAAATAACAGTAAAAATAAATTGCTATAGAAAGTCAGAACCAAAAAAAAAAAATAGTTTTCACAT